CTGGATTGACTGAGTGGCCTGATAGGGTGTTGCCCACCCCAGTGGATGGGTCCACCTAGAAGGGCCCCTGATTACTCTAGGGCAGAGACACAGGGCAGAGGAAAACAGTGGGAGCACAGAAAGTTGCATGACCCCAGCTCTGTTCCCCTCCCTGCAATGTGCTCCCAGGGCTCCAGGATAGCATGAGGGGCTCCTGGAAATCTACCTGCCTGTTGCCTCCCACAGTTCCTAAGAAGGCCACCATAGAAGCAGCTGCAGGCTCGGGTGGAAGCCCCACAATCCCAAGCGTCTCTCTGCTCATACAGCACTGAACTAAATGCGATCAGCCTCATGGAGGCTCCCATTGACACTAACCCCCCCCCAGCACACGGCTTTCTGCTGGTGGGGACCAGGGCCGGGGAGCCATGGAACAGCAAAGCAAAACAGACCCGAGAGCAGCAATTAGCAGAGACAGAGGATGAGAAGGAGAGAAGCAGAAAAGGACGGACAGGAGAGAGAAAATAGAACAGAAAACCAAGCTTTTCCGTAGCACTTTTCATCCCTAGATCTCAAAGCAAGTCAGTGTCATTATCCCCATTTTACAGATGGGGAAACTGAGGCACGGAGCGATGGCGTGACTTGCCCAAGGTCACCCTGCAGAGCCAGGAACAGAATGCAGCCCAACCCAGCCCTCTAGCCCCTAAGCCACTCTGCTAATTCTGGGCCAGGGCCTGGTACCAGGAGCCCACGTGGAGCCTGCACAGGAGACGGGTGGGAGCCGCTGGCCTAGCAGAGCTGTTCCATTGTGGAAGCCTATGATTCTCCAGCCCAAAGCTCGCTAGCGACCCGTAATAGTGCATCTGAGTGGAGCAGACTGGGGCTGGGGAAAGGATGGCTGCACAGGAAACTCCTTCAGCTAGTGAGTGGTCTGGGAGCCTGTGCATGGGGTGGGAAAGCAGGAACGCCTGAGTCCAAATCCCAGCATTGAGAGCGATTGGCTGGGTGGCCTTGGCTAAGTGATGTCACCTCTAGCTCTAGGCATCAATGTGCCCAGCTATCCAAGGGGACTGTAATCCTTCTCTGTCTCACGGGGGGGGGGGGGGGGAATTGACTATAGAGCATTACACAGTATACTACGCTGATTGACTAGTCAGTGTGAGTCCGCTGTCCTCTGCTGGATGGAATGTGAACTGCTCTCCTATGTGTCGTAGACCCTGCAATGCTAATGGCGATTCTCCTCTAGCTCAGCTCACTGGGGTCTGTGCTTTGGGAGCAGTAGGATGTGAGTTCTAACCCTGCTGCCACTTCCATCTGGCTGGGGTATGCAGTATAGTAACCGGCTGTGGGGTTTATTATTGTTATACCCATGCCAGTATGTTTAAAGGAAGTCTCTCAGGATCTGTCCATACTGCAGCTGGGAGCTCTGCTAAGCTAGCACATGAAAAATAGCAGTGTGGATGGTGCTGCCTGGGGTCCGCCTGGACTCAGGTGGGCTTGGATTTGGGTGGCTAGCCTGAGCCACCGCCCGGGACAAATGTCCCCACGGCTATTTTTCGCAAACTATATCAAGCAGAGCAAGCGTGTGCCTGTCTAACTGTGCTGGGAATCACACCTCCCAGCTGCAGCAGAGACATACCGGATAAAACCAGAAAAATTGGCTAAGAGAGAAAGACATTTATACAGAGCCTTTGAGTATTTGTCCTAGAGAGACAGCTAATTACGCCCAACTCCACATTGTTAGCTGGGTAGCTGCTCACTGCCACATATCACACCGCAGCTCTTTGCAGCACAGAATTTAACATGTACTGTGCACCAGCAGGGGGCAGAATTTCACCACCGAGCAAATAACTGTTCAACAGGCAAAAGCCAAAGGGAAAACAGGGGCTCGATATTACAGTCAGTGTCCCACTGGGCATCGGGTTTTAAAGGCTGCTGTGCCAGCTGCCTGTGAAGTGATAGGAGTGGAGACAGCGGATCCTAGGCAAAGAGGAGAGGCGGGAATAAAAGGAGACTCATGCGAATGGAAAAGTCATTGGGTGCGTTTTTTTAAAAATAGGTCCTAGCTCAACCATAAGATAAGGGCTGGATGCAGGAATTGCTGGGTAAGGTTTTTCTGGCCTGGGCTAGGCAGGAGGTCAGACTAGATGAGCACAATGGTGCTTTCAGGCCTTACAATCAATGAAGCTATGTCTGACAAGCGAGGAAGAAACACAATGGTGAGGCAAAGGGATGCAATTGTGAAGCTTGTAAGAAAGCAACAGCATAATACCGGAAATAAATTAAAGCTGCACATATCACAAGGGTTTGACATCCCATTTCAAAGTGCCCCAGGACTCGATGATTAGACTTTCTTGACATTTTTACAAATGAAGGGCTGGAGACTTGGCGGGAGGTGGCTTGCAAAAATCGTTCTTTGCGAAAAATGGCCGCCGTGTTTTGGTTTTTGTTAAAATATTTGTGACTTTCGTCATCTTTTAAGTTTTACTGAAAAAAATCAAAACGTTTCACTTCTCAAAACCAGCAGTTTTTAAATGAAAAACGTCAGTACTGTTTTCTGTGTAAGCTTTGATTACGAAATGTGTAATAAAAACAAACGACTAATGGAGGCTTCGGAGGCTTCCAAACGCAAACAACACCGAGATGTCGAACTTCTGGAGAAAACTAGTTTCCTACAAGCTCTATCGCCGGGAACACTTCCCCTTTAAGGCAGGCGGCTTACCTGGGACCTGCTGGTGCATTGGAACCTTTGAATGCTGGGATCGAGCCAACACAGGCGACATTAGCACCTTCCTCTCCTCCTGGGCTGTGCTTCTTGCCAGATTTACATTTCAGACCAATCATTGCAACAAGGGAATGGAGCACAGTCTTGGTACAGGGAGCCAGCCCACAGCAGGCTTACAGGCAGCTGTCTGGTTGCTATAAATTGAGGGTCTGCCAGCAGACACAGCAAATCAGCATCATTCAGCTCCCTGCCACAGCAGTGTTATTAGCAATGATTTGCTCTTCTATCGGTTTATACCTACGGCTGAACAGACAGCAGCCTCAGGTGGGCAATACAGTAAGACACCGACATTCCTCCTTAGCTGGCTATGTTGTCAGAGGGTCAGTCTCCTTTAGCGAGGCTGTTTGTCTAGGCCAGGGGTCGGCAACCTTTCAGAAGCGGTGTGCCGAATCTTCATTTATTCACTCTAATTTAAGGTTTCCCGTGCCAGTCATACATGTTAACGTTTTTAGAAGGTTTCTTTCTATAAGTCTATAATGTATAACTAAACTACACCTCTACCCCGATATAACGCTGTCCTCGGGAGCCAAAAAATCTTTCCGCGTTATAGGTGAAACCGCGTTATATTGAACTTGCTTTGATCCGCCGGAGTGCGCAGCCCCGCCCCCCGGGAGCACTGCTTTACCGCGTTATATCCGAATTCGTGTTATATCGGGTCGCGTTATATCGGGGTAGAGATGTATTGGTGTATTTAAAGTAATTAAGGTTTTTAAAATGTTTAAGAAGCTTCATTTAAAATTAAATTAAAATGCTGAGCCCCCCGGACCGGTGGCCAGGACCCGGGCAGTGTGAGTGCCGCTGAAAATCAGCTCGCGTGCCGCCTTCGGCACACGGGCCATAGGTTGCCTACCCCTGAGCTAGGCAGAGCTACAGACCGGTGCTGAGGCTGTTTAGTTTTTGTTTGGAAATTTTACACCCGTGTATTACGGTAAAACCTAGAGGGGATGAAGCCCCCTTTGTATTAGGTGCTCTATATGCACATCTCCACTGTGCTGAGATGGCTTCAGCTGGAGTATCGGGCCCAGTTCTGGGCGCCACATTTCAGGGAAGATGTGGACAAAATGAAGAAAGTCCAGAAAAGAGAAACAAAAACGATTAAAGGTCTAGAAAACAAGACCCATGAGGGAAGATAGGAAAAATTGGATCTGTTTAGTCTGGAGAAGAGAAGATTGAGGGGGACATGATCACAGTTTTCAAGGACATGAAGATTGTTACAAGGAGGAGGGAGAAAATTGTTCTCCTTAACCTCTGAGGATAGGACAAGAAGCCATGGGCTTAAATTGCAGCAAGGGCGGTTTAGGATGGACATTAGAAAAAGCTTCCTAACTGTCAGGGTGGTTAAGCACTGGAATAAATTGCTGAGGGAGGTTGTGGAATCTCAGCCATTGGAAGTTTTTAAGAACAGGTTAGAGAAACCCCTGCCAGGAATGGTCTAGTTATTATGTAGTCCTGCCTTGAGTGCAGGGGACTGGACTAGATGACCTATTGAGGTCCCTTCCAGTCCTACACAGCTATGACTCTATAGCAAGAGACACTCTGTGTGTTGAAGAGCTAAACTGTTGGTTCCCAAACTGTGGTACATGTGTCACTGATGGTACATGAGCTTGTTGGAAGTGATACACAGTAACAGAATGGTCTGTCCCCTTTAAAGGGTGGGGATCCAGCCAACCCCTTACCCATCACATGGCTCCATAAGTTTTTCGCCTTCCTCTGCAGCATGGGGCAGGGGTCACTTGCAGGTTTAAACTAGCGTAAATGGTGGATTCTCAGTGTCTCTGCCGATGGACCTTGCCCTTCTGAAGCAAAGAACATTCTTGATTCAGTTGATGAAGGTGCCTTTCAATTAGAAATTGTAAAGCTCCGGAGCTCAGCTGTCTTGAAGGCAAAACTCAGAAAAGTGGGACTTGGTGATTTCTGGACTCAATATGCTGCCCAGTTTCAGAATAGCCAGAATCCAGCCATCTATCTTTTAACGGTGTTCGGATCAATGTACCTCTGCGAAGCTGGGTTTTCTACCATGAACTTTATAACAAACCAACCCCGCAATTGCCAGACAGATGAGCATCTTGACCAGTGCATGCGCCTTGCCCTGACCTCCTACAAACCACTCCGCACAAAGCCTGCCAGAGTCAGCGATGCCTCCTCTCCCATTGGAGATTGCCACAGACACAGGGAATAATGTTGAGTTGTAGACTTGGTTAAAAGACAGAAACACTAATACTTGTGTTGCAGTCAAGGTCTTTATTGGCAGCTGAAATTATTATTTGTTTTAAATGTCAGCCTTCTGCGCAAACGGCCCGGCTCGGGTCATAACATTCTCCAGTCAGCCCGCGGGTAGATCTAATTGAGTACCGCTGCCTTACCCTCACCCAATGCAACACTGATTCCTCCAGCATATTGTTCAGGTCAGAGTCACCCCCATTAGGGGATGGCCCCAGCTATTCAGTCTCCCTTTGCTTTATTTTCCCCTGATAGACCAAACTCTGCTCTAAAGGACACTGGTGCCAACCTAGTGTTGAAGTCAGTGAATAACTCCAGACTCAACACGGTCAGTGTGACTGAAATCAGACTTTGGCCCTCAGCCTAGTTCCTCCCCCTTGGCCATGGAAACTTCCTAGGAACGGCATCACGCCCTTTATGCTGTTCTTGTTCCCCAGCTGAGCCAGCCCCAGCGCATCCAGCTGCCTCTTTCTCTCCTTACAAGTTCCCTGCTCCCCTCCCACAGTGACTTTTGTTCCATTCCCCCCTCCCGGCCCCTCCTAGATCCTTAGACTCAATACGCAGCAGAGGAAGCCTTGCTGAGACGTGCCTTGGCAGCAGGCCATATTCCCTTGCAGCCAACCAGCTGGCTTTTAGGTGGTCCCTGCTTCCGGCTCTGATGGCGGTGGGTTTCCATCCCCCACCTCCTCCCACGCCTTCGGATCGGGTGGGGTGCTCAGGCTCTGCTCCGGCCCTTAGTCATCCGGGTCGGGGCCACACTGCCTCCGGAACTCCTGCCCGTGTTCGTGGATCCATTTGTTTGCCACTGTAAGAGACGGGGGCAACACACACTGAGAGGGGGCGGCGCTGGGCATCCGAATGGGTTAAACAGGAGAGAGTCTCAGAGGGTGGAGGTGAAGGAGAAGCTAAGCCGTTCAGCCCATCTGCCTGCTGCTGGGGGATCACGCCCTGCAGCAGACAGGGAGCAGGGAGCGGTCAGGACTAAGAGCCAGGGGTTCGTTCTAGTCCCGGCTCAGACACTGACTCAAGTCAAGCATCCCAAATTGCTCAAGGCCAGATATTCAAAAGCTCTGCCCCCTAGCGGGCTGAGCTGTTTTTGAAAATCTGGCCATTTATTTGGGTGACTCCATAAGGGCTGAAAATTCTGGCGTGAAGGGCTCCCTGCCTCAGTTTCCCCAGTTCTAAAATGGCGAGAGTAACAGAGATGCTAGGAAGGGATACGGCCCGTCCTGGGGCAGCCACCCACTGACTGAAGAGGCCAGACGGAGAACTCCCCGATGAGCCGGTTATTCTGCCGTCACCCACCTCCTAGGCCTTTCTTACCTCTTCTCCTGAAGCAGCTGTCTCTGGCCACTGTCGGAGATGGGACGATTGAGTGCAAAGCCACTAATGCTTGGGGAGCCCATGGAGAGCCTCCAGCGGGAGGCGTTCTCGAAGGGCAAAGGGAGGGGGTGCGTTGCTGGATGAGCACACGTCTGCACTGTGAGCAGCAGCGAGTCCCAGAGTCTGGGGCAACAGACTGGGGCTCACGGGCTCGGGCTACAAACGGCCACGTAGCCATTGTGGCTCGGGCTCCGAAGCCTGGGGAGGCGGGTGGCCTTTGGAGCCCGAGCTCCAGCCTGAGGGGCTATTCTTAGGGCGGTAGCCCAAGCTGTGCGAGCCCCAGTCCGCCGACCCGGGCCGCTCGTTGCGGAGAGACACCGAGACAGATCGGTCTGGGAGGGAGCTGGCAGCGCAGTGCTCACTCCCCGGGCAGTGCCAAGCTGCTGCAGCGGCGGGTGCTGGGGAACCCGGCGGGCGACGCGCTCAGTGGCCGTACAAAGCGGAGCTGGAGCTCTGGCTCCCTCCCTGCGACAATGCAGGACGGCGCCCTAACCGGAAAGCAAGGCCCGTGGGATAGGAAGGAACCTGCTGGGTCACCGACGCCCATCCCTGCTAGCGCAGGCAGCCCCGGCACATCCTCCCCGTCAGAAACTGCTCAAGACGGAGGGACGGTCCACAGCAGGCCGAACTGAAGCCAGAGCAAGCTCCAGGCTAGGGCGCCAGGGGTGCTGGGAAGATGTGGGCCCCATCCTCTGGGCTAGCCCAGGCCGCCATCTTCACAGGGAGGGAGCTAGTTCGGCTTTTATTTACCCACCCAGACTAGCTTTATTTGAACGCCTCCCTCCCGCTTTGAAGGATACTCATTACGATGGCAACAGGAACTGTCCCAGGGCTGGGCGGAGCCACAGGCTAGCAGGATGAGAAGCAGTAACCCCTGATGCTTTCCTAGCACGGGCCATTGGGCCATTGCCAAGCACTGAATGAATCAGGCATGAACCCTCAGCCATCCCCTCTGTCCCAGGGCAGTATTAGCTCTGCAGCTGGGGAAACTGAGGTACAGTGGGGAGGTGAAGGGACTCGTCCAAGGTCACAGACACAGCGGGGACTAGACCCCCAGGAGTCCTGACTCCCTGGCCCCTCTGTTCTAACCACTAGACATTGCTGCCAACTGGCATATAGGTCATTTCTGGGATTGTTTGGAACTGAAACCATCCCACTTTTGCACGAGATATAAATTTGCATGTTAGACACCACCCATCGGCAGGGCCGATTCCCCACTGGCCTGAGCACCTGGTGATGCTCTGCTTCAGACGGCCTCGGTCCATTCAACGAGAGCAAATACTGCCCAGTGGGAGCATCCAATCACAGCTCAACACTGACAGTCAGCTGAGCGCTGGCCGTGACTGGCGGACACGGTAAACTCAGCCAGGCAGCATTCTAGACGCACGCCTGCAGCGTGGGCCAAAGGCCACACGTGGGAGTGAGAGGAACTGTGTGCTAGTCTTGGCGGTGCATTGATACTACGTGGGTCCCTGTACAATTCATGTCACTGCCCCGTGCCTCAGTTTCCCCACCAGTAAAATGGGGATGAGGCCCTCCTTTGTAAAGGGCTTTAAAATCCATGAACATTACCTTTGCTGGGTTTATTTTAATGTGAGCTCCGTGTGTTGTGGGCCTCCCACCTCTCAAAAGCTAGGCAGGGTCATGTTGGCTAAATTATGTATGGGGGACCTCCCTAAAGAGCTAGAGCAGAGATGTGGCAATCCAGTAGGTGGTGCTCTGGTGCTAGAGGCACATTGTCTTCCTGGAGGTTTGGTTATTGGAGGAAATGTAAAACTAAGGTCCTGACCACTTCTGGCTGTTAAAGGTCTCGAGTAACTTTTCACAAGTGTCAGGGCGTGCTGGCCAAATTCTACTTCTGGACCTTACACTGTGGTTCCCTAAATTCTCCCCATAGTGTCAGTCAGATACAGTATGCTCCGCTTCCTGTCCTAAACTGTCATGCAGCACTGCTGTGAACAGTTAAACAGCTGCCAGGCTTCACCCCAGAGATGGCCGCATTTCAGAAGGGGTGAAGTGATGTTTAAGTATCCCGCACCTGGACATCATTTTTTGCAAAGTGCCTGGAACTCCTGTTGCAGAGGATTATTAGTGATTTGAAGGTGTCTCTCATCTGCTGCCTGGTCCCTCTGCCTTGTGGCTATTTTGGCATTGCGGCACCATCTCATCCCTACTTCCTGCCCGTACTAGCATGCCCACTCTGGGCAGACAGGGTGACAGCTTGATGCCCTCTGCCAGGCCATCCTTTGCCAGTGTTTCACTGCACCAGGGTTTCAAATAACAGAGCACCTGACCCGGGAGGCTAGCGGGCTGTGCATTGTGATGATCTCTGGCGTCTCTTACCCCACTTGTCTCCCGCAAGGACTGGGCAGCCGGCGTGGAGGGTGTCCCCATTCCCGGCTCCGTTCCTGTGAAGGTTCCACCAAAACAGAGCTGCATTCTGGAAACGAGACAAGACGTGTGATGGATGGAGGGGGCTCCCTCAGCAGCACGCGGCTCCCACTGGGGAGCGCGTGACAGGTTCTACAAAGGAAAAAGGACACTAAACTATCTAAACTGCTACATGCCACAAGGAGCCACAACAGTAGTTCCCTTAACCCACCCAGCAATATTGTTAATCTTTCCAGCTATACTCTTAGCCCAGCAGAAGAGTCTGTCCTATCTCGGGGCCTCTCCTTTTGTCCCTCCAGACCCACGAACATGATACAGTTCAGCGGTGACCTAGAATCCTACTTTCGACGTCTCCGACTCAAAGAATATTTCCAACATACCTCTGAACAGCATACTAACCCAGAGAATCCTCCGTACCAGCACTACAAAAAAAAAGGATTCTGTGTGGACTCCTCCGGACGGTCGAAACAACAGACTGGATTTCTACATAGATTGCTTCCGTCAACGTGCAAAGGCTGAAATTGTGGAAAAGCAACATCACTTGCCCCATAACCTCAGCCATGCTGAACACAACGCCATCTACAGCCTCAGAAACAACCCTGACATCATTAGCAAAAAGGCTGACAAAGGAGGTGCTGTCGTCGTCATGAATAAATTGGAATATGACCAAGAGGCTGCTAGACAGCTCTCTAACACCACATTCTACAGGCCATTATCCTCTGATCCCACTGAGGATTACCTAAAGAAACTACACCATCTGCTAAAAAAACTCCCTGACAAAGCACAGGAACAAATCTGTACAGACACATGCCTAGAACCCCGACCAGGGACATTCTATTTGCTACCCAAGATCCATAAACCTGGAAATCCTGGACGCCCCATCATGTCAGGCATTGGCACCCTAACATCAGGCTTGTCTGGTTACGTGGACTCTCTCCTCAGACCCTACACTACCAGCACTCCTAGCTATCTTCGAGACACCACTGACTTCCTGAGGAAACTACAATCCATCGGTGATCTTCCAGAAAACACCATCCTGGCCACTATGGACGTAGAAGCCCTCTACACCAATATTCCACACAAAGATGGACTACAAGCTATCAGGAACAGTATCCCCGATAATGTCACAGCTAACCTGGTGGCTGAACTCTGTGACTTTGTCCTCACCCACAACTATTTCACATTTGGGGACAATATATACCTTCAAGTCAGCGGCACTGCTATGGGTACCCACATGGCCCCACAGTATGCCAACATTTTTATGGCTGACTTAGAACAACGCTTCCTTAGCTCTCGTCCCCTAACGCCCCTACTCTACTTGCGCTACATTGATGACATCTTCATCATCTGGACCCATGGAAAAGAAGCCCTTGAGGAATTCCACCATGATTTCAATAATTTCCATCCCACCATCAACCTCAGCCTAGATCAATCCACACAAGCGGTCCATTTCCTGGACACTACTGTGCTAATAAGCAATGGTCACATAAATACCACCCTATACCGGAAACCTACTGACCGCTACACTTACCTACATGCCTCCAGCTTCCATCCAGGACACACCACACGATCCATTGTCTACAGCCAAGCTCTAAGATATAACCGCATTTGCTCCAATCCCTCAGATAGAGACAAGCACCTACAAGATCTCTATCAAGCATTCTTAAAACTACAATACCCACCTGCTGAAGTGAAAAAACAGATTGACAGAGCCAGACGAGTACCCAGAAGTCACCTCCTACAAGACAGGCCCAACAAAGAAAATAACAGAACACCACTAGCTGTCACCTTCAGCCCCCAACTAAAACCTCTCCAGCGCATCATCAGAGATCTACAACCTATCCTGAAAGATGATCCTTTACTCTCACAGATCTTAGGAGACAGACCTGTCCTCGCTTACAGACAACCCCCCAACCTAAAGCAAATACTCACCAGCAACCACACATCACTGAACAAAAACACTGACCCAGGAACCTATCCTTGTAACAAAGCCCGATGCCAACTCTGTCCACATATCTATTCAAGTGACATCATCATAGGGCCTAATCACATCAGCCATACCATCAGGGGCTCGTTCACCTGCACATCTACCAATGTGATATATGCCATCGTGTGCCAGCAATGCCCCTCTGCCATGTACATTGGCCAAACTGGACAGTCTCTACGCAAAAGAATTAATGGTCACAAATCTGACTTCAGGAATCATAATACTCAAAAACCAGTGGGAGAACACTTTAACCTGTCTGACCATTCTATGACAGACCTGCGGGTGGCTATCTTACAACAGAAAAACTTCAAAAACAGACTCCAACGAGAGACTGCTGAGCTGGAATTGATGTGCAAACTAGACACAATCAACTCAGGATTAAATAAGGACTGGGAATGGCTGAGCCATTACAAACATGGCATCTATCTCCCCTTGTAAGTATTTTCACACTTGCTTCTTATCAAACTGTCTGTACTGAGCTATCTTGATTATCACTTCAAAAGTTTTTTTTCTCTTACTTAATTAGCCTCTCAGAGTTGGTAAGACAACTCCCACCTGTTCATGCTCTCTGTATGTGTGTATATATATCTCCTCAATATATGTTTCACTCTATATGCATCCGAAGAAGTGGGCTGTAGCCCACGAAAGCTTATGCTCTAATAAATTTGTTAGTCTCTAAGGTGCCACAAGTACTCCTGTTCTTTTTGCGGATACAGACTAACACGGCTGCTACTCTGAAACCTGACAGGTTCTGTCACTGCTCATCCACAGCGGATCGGAGTCTATTGCAGTCCCTTCTCGGGAGGTGTAGTGCGAGCTGTAGCAGGTAATGCTTTTAGCTCTGGCGTTCCCCAGTTCCGTCCCCCAGCATGGCAGCTGTCCCACACAACCCTGCACTGAAATGACCTGTTTGTGTCTGTGGTGCCCAAGGTACATGCTAGTTTCATTGCTCAGGAAGAAAAGTTGATGGAGGAGCAGTTTATTGTATACACACCCTTGTTATTCAGCCTGCTCCCAGCCTGCCCATTAAACTGGAGGGGACCGAGACAATTGCTTTGCAAAGGCTGCAAACTGCCACGGCTGCTTAGCACTCCCTGGGAAAGGAGACTCCATAGCACAATGGGGCAACAGCTGTCTTGTGGCTAAAGCACGGGAGACCTGGCTTCTGTTCCTGGCTCGGCCACACCCAACAGTGTCAAGGAGCTTTCGGGGCCCATGTGTCAGTGAGCCGCTGGCCCATTGCGAATCTTCTGCATAAAGAGCTAGAGACTGGAGGGACTATATTGTTGGAGCTCATGCTGGAAAAAACTCCCACTCACCTTGACCACAGGCACACTGAGATTTGCATAGATAAAGGCAGTGGATCCTCCGGCATCTACCGAGCTCAGCTGGAAAACAAAGGCAGCGCTCACTGTCACACTGTGGCTAGGTCTACACTACAGCGGGGTTCCGACCTAAGATACGCAACTTCAGCTACGTGAATACCGTAGCTGAAGTTGCGTATTTTAGGTCGGCTTACCTGGCGGTGAGGACGGGGGAAAGCCGACTGCTGCCGCGCTGCCGCCGACTCCGCTACCGCCTCTTGTCGAGGTGGATTTCCGGAGTCGACGGCAGAGCGATCAGGGATCGATTTTACCGCGTCATCACGAGACGCGGTAAGTCGATCCCCGATAAACCGATTGCTACCCGCCGGATCGGCGGGTAGTGAAGACGTAGCCTGTGTGTTTACAAAGCCTCTTTCACAGGGGGCGCTTTACTGAGGAGGCTGCTTTTCACGTGGGGAAACTGAGACACAGAGCGACACTTCGATTTGCTTGAGATCACATGGCCTTCAAGGCCCTGCACAATTCTGCCCCTCCCTGCTTGTCTGTTCTTGTCTTTTATCACCTTGCTCCCTTGCGCTGCCAATGCTGCCTTTAAGCCAATTTGTTGGCTTCTCTCACAGACTTCTCTGTATTTTTTTAACACCGCCTGGAATGTCCTACCTGAGCTAACTCATACCCTGGTGCACATAATTAACACCCGCAAAGGCAGAGCTAGGCTGGTGTTAGCTACTGACTGGCTCATTGTATCAACCCTGTGCTGAGGTTCTGTAGAATCTGAGCTTCGAAACCATATGTCTATCCCTAGTGATAGGGAAGAAAACCTCCTGCCTGTGACTTGATGGGGGGTTGTAACCCAGAGCTCAGAGAGGTGTGGACTGCCTTAATCCATCTCAATTGGGTGTTAACCCTGAACCCTATTGACATCCTGAAACATTCTTAACTCTTTCACTGCTGATCCTTTTAATCAGAAACATCCAGCTGGTCTGGGATTGCGGACAGAGCTTGTAGAGCGCACGTTCACTCCTAGTCCAACCCCTGCACCTGGGAATAGAAACCAGGAGGCTCCCTGCTCTAACCACTAGCCCACAACACATCTCATTGCCTGACAGGGTTGCAGCTTAGCGTGATCAAGGCTCCCTGCGAATGGTTTGCCTCGACATCTTTTAACCACCCTTCACACGCACTAAGAAACAAAAGCCTGTCCAGGCCCCAGCTGGCAAGGAATACTCACATAGATCATGACTGTGGCCAGTCTGTTACCCGACTTCATTCTGTAAAGGGGGCTCTTTCTTGACTGCATCAAAAGAGAACAGTTGTTCATTCACGGCCCCAGCACTGCTGCGCTATTCATAACAGCTTAATGTTACCAGTGCTATGGGACATGGCCTTGCGCTCAAAGGAAGCAGTTCAGGCCAAAAGCACGAGCTACCTTAATAAGATCCACAGTGCCCAGTTGCCTGCAATCAGAAATTAGAAATTAACAACGGGAAAGACCAATGGACAAGGTCACCTATGCCACACATTTGCATCTGCCACCTCAGGGCCGATAAGCAAATAATCTTGTAGCAGATTCCTAAACATGGCTGCTATTCGAAGCATATGCACTGGATTCTGCTATATTTACCATGCCTTACATCAAGGCCTGCAAGTCTTTATTACGATGGAAACAATGAACACAGGGCAGATTCTGATCTAAGTTACACTCATGTTAATCAGGAGTCACTCTACTGAAATCAGCTGTCACCCAGGTGTAAACAGGTGCAAGAGAGAGCAGAACCCAGCTTATTGTATAATACAGTAACTCCTCACTTAAGGTCGTCCCGGTTAACGTTGTTTCGTTGCGGATCAATTAGGGAACATGCTCGTTTAAAGTTGCACAATGCTCCCTTATAACGTCGTTTGGCAGCCACCTGACTTGTCCACTGCTTGCAGGAAGAGCAGCCCGTTGCAGCTAGCTGGTGGGGGCTTGGAACCAGGGTGGACCGGCAGCCCCCCTATCAGCTCCCCGCTCCCCTAAGTTCCCTGTGTGGCAGCTGTGCAGCAGGTTATCAATTGCCGGCAGTTCAGCTGTGTCCCTCCCCCCACTGCCATGTGCTGCTCCCGCCCTCTGCCTTGGAGCAGCTCCCGGGAGCCTCCTGCTTGCTGGGGGGAAGAGAGGAGGGCTAATATCAGGGTGTCCCCCTCCCCCCTACTCCTGCCCCCCGCTTACCCCTTCTCCATATAGAGCAGGGTGGGGACAGGACAGGGCTCAGGACAGAGGGAGTGTGCTGGCAGCAGCAACTGCTGTCTCAACTGCTGGATCTACTTAAAAAGGCAATGTACTTAGAGTGGGGTCAGCGTACTTAAAGGGGCAATGCACATCTCTCTCTCACACAGGGTATGTGTGTCTGTCTCTGTCTGCCATGCTGTCTCCCCTTCCCTCCATTCGTGGTGCCTTGTAGAGCGTGAGGCTACATTAACAATGTGTTAACCCTTGAGGGCTCAGCCAATGGCTAGTTCATCATTTAGCAGTAAGGCATTCCCTGGGAAATATCCCACCCTCTTCCACCCTCTGACTTCATCACCTCAACCAAGCTTCACAATCATCATTGCTGTGTACAATATTAAATTGTTTGTTTAAAACTTATACTGTGTGTGTGTGTATATATATATATATATAAATATATATATATATATAAAATATAGTCTTTTGTCCGGTGAAAAAAATTTCCCTGGAACCTAACCCCCTCATTTACATTAATTTTTATGGGGAAATTGGATTCACTTAACATGGTTTCGCTTAAAGTCTCATTTTTCAGGAACATAACTACAATGTTAGCGAGGAGTTACTGTATGTGTAGAACTGGCTTTAAAATGCCAATTATTTTTCACTGGAAATGTGAATTTTTTTCATTATTTCAAAATGTCCCATGGAAATGTTTTGTGTTTTCATTGAAGTATCCCAGGCCAAAACCGGGAGATTTTCCAGTAAAATGTTTCTATTTAAAAATGCTGATTTTTTTTAGCCCCAAACTAAAGATTTGTTTTATTGAAAAACATTTCCATTCCCATTTTTTTCAACAAAAAGCCTGAAAACATCAACCAAAACATTTGGCAGTGAATTTTTTCATTTTGGTTGAAAAGCCTCTTTTCATCAAACAAGGGTTTCAGTGAAAACATGTCACCCAGCTGTAATTATGTTACAAAACGCCCTTCTGGCCAGCTGTGCTGTGGCTGGCAGATTCATTCACAGGAGCAAGGGCAATTAGAATATGTTACAGCGCCCCATGGACAATCCCAGCCCCAAGGCACCACTGATTACAGATGAGTTGGGCGCTGGTGCCTCTTTGGCCATCTTCTCTGTCGTAGAGAGACTACAGCCCTTGGAATTCCAGAGGGGACGTATTTTTTAAGTCAGGTGGAAAGGATCGTGCAAAAGAATCCTGTGATAAATGAAAAGGGGGGGAGGGGGTTGCTCCCTTGTATGGACCCAGCCAGCCAGTTAGCTATAAAATCCCTCTTCGTAGCTGTTCTCTACTTGCTTTACCTGTAAAGGGTTAAAAAGTCTGACCATGCATAGGTAAAAGGAAGTGAGTGGGCACCTGGCCAAAAGAGCCAATGGGAAGGCTAGAACTTTTTAAAATTGAGAAAAAACTCCCCCTTTGTCTGTCTGTGTTGTTTTCCAGAGAGAGGGAACAGAGCAGCGATGCTGTAAAAAGCTTTGGGCCAGGTATGAAAAGTCATCAGATCATACCTAGAAACTACTCATTTAAAACCCCAGATATGTAAGTAGCTCAGGAAATGTCTAGGAAGACACGATTAGGTTTAGCTCTGTTTATTTCTTTATGGCTTGTGGACTCCTCTGTGCTAACCCCAAATGCTTTTGTTTTGCTTGTAACCTTTAAGCTGGACCTCAAGAAGGTTATTCTTGATGCTTAATTTTTGTAAGTGGGTTTTTGAAATCTAGCAATAGCCTAAGTTTCCAGATGTATTTTCTTTCTTTTTTTTGTTCTTAATAAAATTTACCTGTTTTAAGAACAAGACTGAATTTTTGTGCCCTAAGAGGTTTGTGCACATGTGGTTTAATTAGTCGGTGGCAACAGCTGATTTCCTTTTCTTTTTTTCCCCTTTCTCAGCTCTTCCCCGGAGGGGGGGGGGTGAAAGGGCTCGAGGGTCCCCCACAGGAAGAAATTCCCAAGTGCGCCTTCCTGGGCTCTCAAAAGGGTTCTGCACTTGAGTGGTGGCAGCATCTATCCCTCCAAGTCAGAGAAAAGCTGTAACCTTGGGAGTTTAATACAAGCCTGGAGTTGCCAGTATTAATTTTTAGAATCCTTGCGGGCCCCACCTTCAAAGTGCCAGAGTGGGGAATCAGCCTTGACAAATCCCATGAAAGAGACTGATCAGTGCGACAGCCCTGGAGCGGTATTGAAACACAAGAAGCTGCTGCGTGGCACGGTGAGCCCCATCCAGTGCCAACAGATGCCAATGGAAAGCCTCCCGTTGACTTCAATGATCATTGGCTCAGGCCCTATGTGAAAATTACCTCTTGTGAGCCAGTCTCACGGGCTTTGCTACTTACAGTGGCATGGTCAAAATGAGGCTCGTAGTGTCCACCTATCCCATAATTCACCACCTGTAGGTGCTCTGCATACGGTGGCCGAATGTTCAAGCCAGTCAGGGCTGTGATCCTCTGATCTAGCGACACGATTACGGGGTCGACGGTGTCCTTCAGCCAGGCGCTAGAATGCACAGCAGACAAGCTCAGAGGGGTCGCCAAGAACAGCTGGCAGCGGGATCCCCATAAATGGAATCTGTTCTAAATGCCCAACGAGCCAGAGTCAATCGAGTTCCACCAGGGAAGAGATCCCCAGCGACGAATTTGGCCCCATGTTTGTAAGGTGCAGTACCGTCGGGGTTATTAGCCTTATTGGACGGATAGGGAAACTGAGGCACAGAGAGGCAAAGAGCCAGAATTTTTAAAAGGGAAAATCCACTTGTGGCAAACCCCTAATTCGCATGTGCAATACAACCATGATCTACAGCCCAATGGGCGTCTTTTCATTAACTCAAATGGGCTTCATATTAGGCTCTAAGGGCCAGATTTGGAAAGGTATTTGGGCACCTATCTACATCTTTGGGCACCTAAACCCCTTTAAAAAGCTAGTGAGAGGTGACTTGTCCAAGCTCACAGAGTGAGTCTGTGGCACACAGGGCCGGCTCCAGGCACCAGCTGACCAAGCACGTGCTTGGGGCGGCACCTTGGGCCGGGGTGGCGCTCAGGTTTTTATTTATTTATTTATTGGGTGGGGGCTGGCGTGGCGCGGCGCTGGGGGGGCAGGGGGTGGCGCGCGGGGGGGGGGGGGGGGTGGGCGGGGGGGGGGGGGGGGGGCGGCACTCTTCTTTTTTGCGTGGGGCGGCAAAAAAGTTAGAGCCGGCCCTGGTGGCACAGCCAGGAAATCCCCCCACCCATCCCCAGGTCTCCTGTTCCTGAAACAAAATCAGCTTTTCTCCTGCCTCTAACGTGCTGCCATGGCTGAATGCCTCACTCAGAGCAGAGGCCGCTCCAAACAGAGACGGGTGCATGGCAGGGGGGCAGCTGCTGGCTGAAGGTTGGCAGGTAAAATGTGTCCAGCGAAGGGATCTTTACTTTCCTGGCGCTGGTTTCACTGGGCGCAGCCCTGGAAGTTTCTTGCTGTGCCTGGAGTATTTATGTTGAAGGCCTTTGACTTTGTCATAGTCCTGGAGGCAGCGTGTTTTGGATCAATGCGTGGAAACCGTATTCTTCTACCGGATCTGTTTGCTGACATTGGCGCTGCTGTCGTCCAGCCTTTCAGAGCATTCCAGCATCTAATCACCTGCCAGATTCTGTTCTCCACTTTAGCTAGAAACAGACCAGAACCAGCACCCTGGATCCAAACACTACGGGGTGGGGGTGGGGGGTACGAAATCTAAACCCAATGCTAAATTCCATGAATGGCACCTATTTTCTTATTATTATATGACATTTGTACCTAGAGGCCTCAAGCACAGTCAGTGCCTCATTGCGCTAGGTGCGGTACATGTGCACACAGTCAGACAGATCCAGAGCTTCAAAGCCACTTAGGCACCTAATTCCCTTTGATTTTAATGGGAGTTAGGTGCCCAAATACCTTAGAGGATCTGGGCCATAGTCCCTGCCCCAAAGCGCTTACAGAAGGTGGGAACAAGGAAGAGGTATTGTATCCCCATTTTATGAAAGGACAACTGAGGCCCAGAGTGGTTAGGGTAGATCTATACTGTGATAAAGACCCAGGGCACGGCTGCAGCTGGCCCAGGTCAGCTGACTCAAGGAGGGAGAGGCTCAGACACCCGTGAGCTACAGCGACCCTGCCAGGCCAAAGAGGGAATATTGCAAAGGTGCAAAAGCCATCCTGCTCCCCACCCCCCGCCCTGCCGGTCCCAAGGGCTCGGTGCCAACGTTGTCAATGAGAACCCAGAATGGCACCGGCTGGCAGACGAGTGCCCACATTGGGGCTGGCACCCGTTTCGCTAATTCTGTGCGCGGCCCAACCTCGGGCTGAGCTACATAAACCCCGAGGATCCTGCCTGAAGTAGCTGCTGCGGCCACTTTGGGGTTTCAGGGAATGTGCAGAAAGGCAGGGGACTGGCCCAACAATCCTGAGAGGGCCGGAAAGAAAATCATCTCATTCAACGGCTGCCTCTTGCCAACGGCCATGAACTGCTGTCTGCATGACACAGCGCGGGCAAATCATCAGGGCAGAATGTAGCCCGCAGAGCCCCCATAAGGAATAAATCATCGGCTGGCTAACAAATAACTGAATCCCGCCCAGACGTACGTCTGAAGCGCCTCATTTGTTCCGTTGTTTTTCAGCCGGAGGGATATTCAGTGTCATTACGAGGTTTGTAGAGAAACCAGGTTCACATCCAAAACGTTAAACCTGGAGACAAATCCGGTCTTGCTTTTTATATTGTACCTCGATTGTGACTAGTGGGGTCTGATGGTTTGAACAGGGGCTTAGGCATCAGTATGACTGGATTCAGTGTTCCCTCTGCCACTGACTTATTGTGCCGCCTTGTCCAAGTCTCTGTGCCTCAGTTTACCCCATCTGTACGACAGCAGTAATTATACTAACAGGTACCTCGTTGCAGAGGCGGTGGCTAGAATTAATGACTGAAAACGAAGGGCTTTCAGATGCTTGGTGGGGAAGTGCAGTGTGTAATCTGGGTTTCTCTATAAGACGCTGTGTGCATTGGAGGCGAGCTCATCTGGTTACAAGTATCAGAGGGGTAGCCGTGTTAGTCTGAATCTGTAAAAAGCAACAGAGGGTCCTGTGGCACCTTTAAGACTAACAGAAGTATTGGAGCATAAGCTTTCGTGGGTGAATGCCCACTTGCGTCTGATGAAGTGGGCATTCACCCATGAAAGCTTATGCTCCAATACTTCTGTTAGTCTTAAAGGTGCCACAGGACCCTCTGTTGCTTTCATCTGGTTAGGGGATCTAGGTCATTGTCTTTTAAATTAATGTAGCTAGTTACCATTTCCTTCTCCCCATGGTTTAATCCCCCCTCCCTTTTCTGGGTCCTGTCATGACAAACACCTTCTCACTGGCAATGGGGTGACCTCTGCCAATGCCCCTTCTGCCTTCGTTAGCAGCCCCCTGGAGCTGCGGGGGTTAAACATTCACTCTCTCTCCTGCTGGCTCTGAGCCTGGGAATGGAATTCCATTAAACGGGGCGTCTGGGGATGACGCTGGGAGGCTGAGCCTGGAAATATTTACTGGGATCACTGCAAAGCCACACTACTCCGGGCCTGGATTCTGGATTTAACTCTTTCCTCCTCTGCAGGGAGCCAGGAGAACTGTCCTTTCTGTCTCAGCGAAGCTTCCCCAGCAAGGGATCGTCTGAGTTCCAGCCATACATTCTCTTCCCGCCTGTCACTGCAGGGGAGATCAGAGACCAGGGATGGGATCTGAGGCCCCGCACTCCGAGGATACTGGTTTAAACCCAGCCTAAGGTGAGAATGGTCTAATGTCCCTCCCATCCGAAATTAGTCAATATCACTCCCATCTCACAGCTGTTTGATCACCTCGCTTTGCGTCGTCACGGGACCGTCGACATTGGAACTGGAGGTGCAATTTCCAGCCGGAGTGAATATACCTGCGCTAGCTCTGATTGAGCTAGTGTGCTAAAAATAGAAGCGGCGCTGCCGCAGTGGGATGGCCTAGAACCGCCCGGAATACGGACCCAGGGTCTCAGACAGGCTCCTACTCTATTTTTAGCGCGCTAGCTCGATCGGCGCTAGCCAGAGCCGTCTCCTCCAGCTGGGAATTGCCCCTCCAGCTCCGGTGTGGACACACCCTGGGACACAGAAGTTCCCAGCTCCTAGTGAGAGGTGACTGCAGAGGCCTCAGTCCCTTTCATTGTTACACAAGGAAGAAAGGAGAGCAGCAGAATACGGACCCTGGACTTCAGAAAAGCAGACTTTGACTCCCTCAGGGAACAGATGGGCACGATCCCCTGGGAGAATAACATGAGGGGGGAAAGGAGTTCAGGAGAGCTGGCTGTATTTTAAAGAATCCTTATTGCGGTTGCAGGAACAAACCATCCCGACGTGTAGAAAGAATAGTAAATATGGCAGGCGACCAGCTTGGCTAAACAATGAAATCCTTGCTGATCTTAAACACAAAAAAGAAGCTTACAAGAAGTGGAAGATTGGACAAATGACCAGGGAGGAGTGTAAAAATATCGCTCAGGCATGCAGCAGTGAAATCAGGAAGGCCAAATTGCACTTGGAGTTGCAGCTAGCAAGAGATGTTAAGAGTAACAAGAAGGGTTTCTTCAGGTATGTTAGCAACAAGAAGAAAGTCAAGGAAAGTGTGGGCCCCTTACTGAATGAGGGAGGCAACCTAGTGACAGAGGATGTGGAAAAAGCTAATGTACTCAGTGTTTTTTTTGCCTCTGTCTTCACAAACAAGGTCAGCTCCCAAACTGCTGGACTGGGCAGCACAGTATGGGGAGGAGGTGACCAGCCCTCCGTGGAGAAAGAAGTGGTTCGGGACTATTTAGAAAAACTGGATGAGCACAAATCCATGGGGCCAGATGCGCTGCATCCGAGGGTGCTAAAGGAGTTGGCGGATGTGATTGCAGAGCCATTGGCCATCATCATTGAAAACTCATGGCGATCGGGGGAGGTCCCGGATGACTGGAAAAAGGCTAATGTGGTGCCCATCTTTAAAAAAAGGGAAGGAGGAGGATCCGGGGAACTACAGGCCAGTCAGCCTCACCTCAGTCCCTGGAAAAATCATGGAGCAGGTCCTCAAGGAATCAATTATGAAACACTTAGAGGAGTGGAAAGTGATCAGGAACAGTCAGCATGGATTCACCAAGGGGAAGTCGTGCCTGACTAACCTAATTGCCTTCTATGAGGAGATAACTGGCTCTGTGGATGAGGGGAAAGCAGTGGATGTGTTATTCCTTGACTTTAGCAAAGCTTTTGATACGGTCTCCCACAGTATTCTTGCCGCCAAGTTAAAGAAGTATGGGCTGGATGAATGGACTGTAAGGTGGATAGAAAGCTGGCTAGATCGTCGGGCTCAACGGGTAGTGATCAATGGCTCCATGTCTAGTTGGCAGCCGGTTTCAAGCGGAGTGCCCCAAGGGTCGGTCCTGGGGCCGGTTTTGTTTAATATCTTTATTAATGATCTGGAGGATGGTGTGGACTGCACTCTCAGCAAGTTTGCAGATGACACTAAACTGGGAGGCGTGGTAGATACGCTGGAGGGTAGGGATCAGATACAGAGGGACCTAGACAAATTAGAGGATTGGGCCAAAAGAAACCTGATGAGGTTCAACAAGGACAAGTGCAGAGTCCTGCACTTAGGACGGAAGAATCCTATGCACTGCTACAGACTAGGGACCGAATGGCTAGGAAGCAGTTCTGCAGAAAAGGACCTAGGGGTCACAGTGGACGAGAAGCTGGATATGAGTCAACAGTGTGCTCTTGTTGCCAAGAAGGCTAATGGCATTTTGGGCTGTATAAGTAGGGGCATTGCCAGCAGATCGAGGGACGTGATCGTTCCCCTTTATGCGACATTGGTGAGGCCTCATCTGGCATACTGTGTCCAGTTTTGGGCCCCACACTACAAGAAGGATGTGGAAATATTGGAAAGAGTCCAGCGGAGGGCAACAAAAATGATTAGGGGTCTGGAGCACATGACTTATGAGGAAAGGCTGAGGGAACTGGGATTGTTTAGTCTCCAGAAGAGAAGAATGAGGGGGGATTTGATAGCTGCTTTCAACTACCTGAGGGGGGGTTCCAAAGAGGATGGAGCTCGGCTGTTCTCAGTGGTGGCAGATGACAGAACAAGGAGCAAAGGTCTCAAGTTGCAGTGGCGGAGGTCTAGGTTGGATATTAGGAAACACTATTTCACTAGGAGGGTGGTGAAGCACTGGAATGCGTTACCTAGGGAGGTGGTGGAATCTCCTTCCTTGGAGGTTTTTAAGGCCCGGCTTGACAAAGCCCTGGCTGAGAGGATTTAGTTGGGAATTGGTCCTGCTTTGAGCAGCGGGTTGGACTAGATGACCTCCTGAGGTCCCTTCCAACCCTGATATTCTATGATTCTATGATTCTACCCCAGCACATTTCCTGGCAGGGAGTCCTTGAACATCCAGAACTCTGCCCCAGACGGTCTAAGTCTGATTCCCCCCTTACACCCAGGTCAATCGGGCGTGACTCCTGGACTGAGTTACACCAGGCAAGCGAGGTACAAAGCGGGTGTCTTGTGTGCATTTAGGCATAAAAATTCCTCAGTCCCTCACCTGTACAATAGGGGGTGGGGGATAATCTTTCCCCTGTCTGCTGTGTCTATCTGTAAGCTCTTCAAGGCAGGGGTGCTGTCTCCCTGGGTGTGTCTACGCTGCAATCTGTGGCTGCAGCACGTGGAGCCGTAGCCTGGGTACCAATAGCAGTGAAGCCGCGGCAGCACGGACTAGCCACCCAAGTACAAGCTCACCAGGGAGCCTGGGTACGTAATCGGGCAGCTAGCTCGTGCTGCTGCAGCTTCATTGCTATTGGTACGGGAGCCAGCTAGGCCAAAGCTAGCTCGGGTAGGTCCACACATGCTGCAATCCCCCCATTGCAGTTTGTACAGCACCTAGCACAATGGGACTCTGCTGTAGTCGGGGGCCTCTAGGTACTGCTGTAACATGATTAACAATAAGACGGGCCAGACGCCGTGGCAGTGAAACCATTTCCCTTAGGCAGTTCGACCAGGCATGGAATTGCAGCTGTGAGAACCCTGGCGCCCCAACGTCCCGGGGGGTTAATTACCTCTTACTTATCCGGTACTCGGCTTTCTGCTGCTTCTCTTCCGAGGCAACCACTGATCTCTGCAGCTGAGCAACGGGGAGATGAGAGCACAAGAGACAGTCAGAGGACGTAACAAATATGGGAGCTGCAGCCACACGTGGAGGCGGGCAGGCACATACACTCCCAGGTGGATTAAGGTAGGAGCTATGGATCTGTGCATTCAGGCTTTGCGCCGGGATGGGGCCCACAAAGTTGGGATCTAAGCTGGGGCGCTATTACCCAGCCGGCAAGAGCAGGGCACTGAGCCACCCGCTGCTTCGCCGCTGCCGGCCCGGCAAGTTCCCTCCCCGCTGACGCTCAGGTGTAGCCGTGGGAGGAGGGGAATGATAGAATATCAGGGTTGGAAGGGACCTTAGGAGGTCATCTAATCCAACCCCCTGCTCAAAGCAGGACCAGTCCCCAGACAGATTTTTGCCCCAAATCCCTAAATGGCCCCCTCAAGGATTGAACTCACAACCCTGGGTTTAGCAGGCCAATGCTCAAACCACTGAGCGATCCCTCCCCCCAGAGGACACAGTCCTCCCTGTAACGGGGCAGGACCCACGACCACCTCAATGAGACACTCAGCACAGGCCAGACAGCGGGAGGGAGAGGAGAGCTGGGCCCAGCAAGGGGCTGAGCTTGGGCAGCTCTCGAACAACCCCAGGCCTGCAGCACTGACGACTTGTCAGCCCTGGATTCAGTTATTAATCTCCATGGGGGCTGGTTTTACTACTCTCCACGGGGGCTGGTTTGCTCCAGTACCAAGGCAGCAGGTCTTCCTCCAGGAGCTCAGAGAGGCAGCTAGAGGCATGCGGTTTACTTCAGAACAAAGCGTTTAAACTCAGGGCTGATGAGCAGACGGTTCCGTCCCTCTCTTTGTGTTACCCCTAGCTAGCAGCTTCTCGCTCGTGTTCCTCTGGCTGGGAGACCATCCGCCACTAGCCCCCTGCCCTCCTAAAGAACCAGCCGCCCGACAATCTCACGCCACCGCTGTATGATCGCTAGCGATTTTCATCCCTGTTCCAAGGGGTGAGCCGGCAACCGGTGCAGGCAGCCAGGCCGTGAACGTGCCACCAGAGTGTTAGGCCAGACAGTCGTTCGTGTTTCTAAGACGGCTTCTGTGTTGAGGAACTTAGCTGGATTCGTAGATTTTAAGGCCACACTGAACTCTGGGTAGCTCAAAAGCTTGTCTCTTCCACCCACAGAACTCGAGCCAATAAAAGATCTGACCCGAGCCCCAGTGTCCCTCTCATATCCTGGGGCCAACACGGCTACAACTCTTGCACAGCACAGGCCAGAGAACTTCCCTGCCACAATACCTGGCTAAACTAAAGCAGATCTTCTAGAAATCACCCAGTCCTGAAAAACACTTCACCCCGTTCTCGGCTGCAGTGCGGCTCGGACCCACGTCCTTCGGCGCGGAAGGAACAAGCCCCTACCACTTAAGGCTAAAATCCCATCACAGGGTGCAGGTGTAAGTGGAGCTGGAGTCATGAAGGCCTGACCAAGTGCTGAACTATCTCGTGGGTTTCTTTGGATGTGTGGATGGGGTTCAGACCCACCTCTACCTGTCCAGACGCTCGCATTTGTCTGCATTCAGATCACATCCCCTCCCCCCTTGCCCTGGAAAGACAGCTCTTGCGGCTGCTAGGTGATTGACGGGTGGTTCTCTGCCCCATAGAGCTGTATGAGGACAGGTGTGTGCATTAGGTCTGCAAGGAGCCTTGTCTGATGAACTCACCCAGGGAGCTGCAAGCCCCTTGATCTTCTCCGCCTCCAGGTCGCTGATGAAGTCGTGGTACAGGGCTACGTACGGCTGCAGCCGGATCAGCTCTCTTTTCACCGGCTGGAGGATCAGGTACGGGCTGTCGTTCGTCTCGTATGAGCAATGGAGGGCTGGGATCTGATACTGGGTTGGCTGAAAGGAAACCAGTCCAAGGAATGTGTGAGGAGGCGGCTGGAGACTCCAGCTTACAGGGGACTGAACCTCATCTAGTGCTGGGGAAAGGGGCAGGATCAGGGTCCCTGAGCCACATGCTCCCTCTTTCCCAGCGGGATCGTCCTTAGAATTTACACAGGGCTGCAAAGGCTTCGCCTGCAGCGCTGACGAGGCAGGAGCTGGGATCCCGGGGGCTGGCAATGGGTCACAGAGCCAGTCAGCTCAGGGCTATCGGCTGAAACCTGGCCTAGGCTGACAGTGACCCAAAGCTGCTATTATGTGATGGCTACTGGGGCCTGCTGGGCCTCCCTCCAGTTCTCGCCGGACAACCACTAGCTGCAGCAGGGCTAACTACAGAGACGGAGCAGGGGACCTGCAGCACTCAAAGGCCTGAGTCTAGAGCCAGGCTCCAGCGCTGGGGGCTGGACCAGCCCCAAACCCTCCGGAGCGGGGGCACAGAGGCGGGCACACAACAAACACCGACCAGTCTAGGCAGTGGGAGCTACCTCACCTGGGGGTGGAGCTGAGGCACACACCGGGGCTGTCCTGGGCAAGAGGACGTGAGTGGGTCTCATTCACCGTCATCCTCTAGCCCTGCATGAAGGCTCAAGGCTCCATACCTGTGACCCCAGAGTCTGGCACAGCTCTTCATAGAGGTCCCTAGTCTGCAGGTGAGTCACATTTGGCCTCTGCAGGCCCACCTCAGCCTTGGCGCGCTCTGGACTTTCCACCAAGAGCCTTTCATACTTCAGGACATTCCTAGCGATTCTTTTGTTGCTGGGATCTGTTGGGAACAACACAGTCACGTTACCCCAGCCCTTGGCAGGTGGCTTTGGCCGTGCTTCGATACTCCCCGGACACAGGCACCACTGACTGAGTTCATCCGTCAGCTTTCATAGCGTTTCAACAGCCATTTCTTCGTCTGCTCTGGCCTTCTTTGCTGACTACAAGTAAAATCAGCAGCAGGCAGCATTGTTGTAGCTGTGTCGGTCCCAGGATATTAGAGAGAAAAGGCGGGTGAGGTCGTATCTTTTAATGGGCCGGCTTCTGTTGATGAGAGAGACAAGCTCGAAGGTTTGTCTCTCTCACCAAATAACATCAGAAGAGATAAGAACATAAGAACATAAGAACGGCCATACTGGGTCAGACCAAAGGTCCATCCAGCCCAGTATCCTGTCTACCGACAGTGGCCAATGCCAGGTGCCCCAGAGGGAGTGAACCTAACAGGTAATGATCAAGTGATCGCTCTCCTGCCATCCATCTCCACCCTCTGACAAACAGAGCTAGGGACACCATTCCTTACCCATCCTGGCTTATAGCCATTAATGGACTTAACCTCCATTAATTTATCCAGTTCTCTTTTAAACGCTGTTATAATCCTAGCCTTCACAACCTCCTCAGGCAAGGAGTTCCACAGGTTGTAACTCATGCCACTGGAACAATTTACCAAGGACCATGGTGGATTTTCCATCACTTGCGGCCTTCAAGTCATAACTGGCTGTCTTTCTTAAAGGCACAGGCTAGCTCAGACACAAGTTATGGACTTGACCCAGGTATGACTGGGCAATGTCCTCTGGCCTGTGCTATGCAGGAGATCAGATTAGAGAAGCGTTCTCAAACGTTTTGTGTTGGTGACCCTTTCACACAGCAAGCCTCTGAGTGCGACCTTCCTTATCCATTAAAAACACATTTTTTGATATTGAACACTATTTTCAATGCTGGAGGCGGAGCGGGGCTGGGGGTGGAGCTGGGTGGGAGGGGCTCGGGCTCTCCGCCATGAACGGGGCTGACAGCCGGATCCCCGCCATGTGTGGGGCTGACAGCTCATGACCCCCCACATAATAACCTTGCGACCCGCAGTTTGAGACCCCCTGGATTCGATGATCACAACAGTCCCTTCTGTCCTTAATTAAAATCTATAATCCACAGTCACTAAGGGATTTCCCGGTTGTCACCAATCCCATGCTGTGTCCCATGGCCAAACTGAATTTCATGGGGAGCGTGAGAACAGAACTCAGATCCTTCTGCTCTCAAAGCCCGACCCTGGGCCACTTGAGCTAAAGTGGGGTCTCTATCACCTGACTCTATATGATACCATGGAGCACTGCTAATTCTAGCCAGTAGAGGTCAGTGGTGCACATACACACTGGCCGGTTAGTTATGACGTTTACCAACTCAGGGAACAATTTTCAGGCACTTAGAAAAGCGTGTAACAACTAGATACGCATGAGAGTCAGCGCAATAAAAGCTTGGGCTTGATCTGCAGCCTGAGTTAAAGTCCCTTTGTGCCACTCCAGTGGTGGAAAGAGAATGAATGGATGCTGCCTTCATCAGGCAGCGGAGGATTGCCTGGGGACTGGGCCAGAACCTGGACCATACACTGCAGCCAGGCTGGTGTGACAGAACGGTGCAGCCAGCCTACGTTAGAGCAACCCTGGGGCTGCTCTAACTTGCACCTGGAGCCAGTTTGGCCCTGGCTACCCCAGAATTGGGGGAGGGGTGAATTGCCTCCCCCCCACCTTAGCTGTGGTGAGCATGAGCTCAGCACAGCTGGTCTATAAACCTGGCGCTCATTTAGCTCAGCAATTTAGGAGTTTTACAGCCTGCCGTGTAGGAAAGACCCGCCCTTTCCAGCCCCCCCGCCCCCCTGCTTCCTTGCCAGCCCGTTATATCCTGCACAGCATGGGTAGAGGCTCCATGGGTCACCGCTGGAGAACCCCTGGTTTCAATGAAAAGCAGCTTTTCACCCAGAGCGGAGGGAAAAGTCACTGATTTCCCACTGACAATCACATACCATAGTGAAGAAACTCTCTGGAGAGGCTTAAGGCATGAGACACATTTCCTGCCTAGGAGAGAGAGAGAGAGGAAACATGGGTGTCCCTGGTACGATGGGTGTCCGGTATGCATTTGCTCAAGCCAGGACCCCCTGCCCCCTGCTCCCACCATGCACCAGAGAAATGGGCCCAAACAAAGCCAGATCAGCTGCAGGAATCACTGGCGTGGTCAGTCCCTGACCCACACACACCAGAGGCTGCGAACAAGCGCACTCCGAGTTCTGATTCCGATCCGAGCATCACGGCTCAGGCTGATTCAGAGTCTTAACGGCGACGAGTCTGAACCAAAGCACCACTGAAATCAATGGGGGCCTGGTGGCTTCATCGGGCTTTGGATCGGGTCCTGCATGCGCATGCACCTGGTGCCCTGGGCAGGGTGGGGAAGACACTTCCCCTAAGGATCCCACTAGCGATTGGGCACCATTAGAAGCTGCCCAGTGGAGGCTGGCACAGGAGTATTCTGGCCACACCCCCTCTCCAGCCAGCACCACCCACTTCTGGAGCAGTGCGGCTTGGCTGTGGGTCCATCCAGAGAGCAGGTCATGCTGGCACCTTGCATCATCATCACAGTGTGCCATCACTGGGGGCCGAAGCCCTGCATCACACCAGCTTATCCGGGCCTGAATCAAGCTCAGCAGCGTAGCTACTAGACAGCCCAGCGGCTGCTAGCGGTACCTGGAGGTGGGGTGAGGGAAGGAGGCTGCCCCTGGACAGAGGATTTGAGGCTGAGTCATTCTGGCCGGCCAGGATGAGATTCCCCCAGTGCCGGCACCTTGCCGCTGGACATTCAGTCAATTGCAGTCACTGGAGCAGGGCCGGGGAGGGATCTGGGGAGTTAGTGGCTTAGAGGCTCAAAGACAGTGTCCAGGCTGGCTGCAGGGGCAGGTAGGACGCCAGCAGAAGGGGCTTCCTTCCATGCACGGTAACATGCCGCTCAGTCAGCAGGAGGCACCTGAGCAAAACAGCCGCAGGCCCGGAGCAGGCAGGGAAATGAATGAGATGAAACAAGAGTTTTGTTATTTGAGGAAATGGAGGGAGGGGAGTTGGCCGGCAGACAAAGGGCACAAGCTCTGGCTGGCTGGAGGGTAGCTTGTTACTGAGTGGGACGAGAGGCTCCTGGCCCGGGGGCCAGTGCGGGTGGTGAGATGAACTTGTGACTGATGCACAAATAAGCAAAGCCACTGGAGATGGGCCTGCGCTGCAGCGTCCAGCTCTGCTGTGGCCCACAAACCCCGCGCAGTCTGGGGAGAGCAGATCCGGCTTTCATGTCACCCCGCTACAAAGATAGGAGCCAGCTGCAATCTGGATTTGGAAACCCACCCAAATCTCTGAGGGCTGGGCTGCGGCATGCCGGGCTGCTGGTGCAACATGGCCTGATACTGGGGTAGTCAGCCCTAGGGGGTAGGGTGGGGTCAGCCCAGCATAGGGGGATCTCCTGGGCATACAGCCAGCGTAGTGGTTCCTACAGGACCTCCTCCCATGTGCTGGAATAGAGGGTGTGGCCAGGAAAAAGGAGGCGTGGCCAGCGTGTCCTGGTTATCACTGACTTGTGCCCAGGTGGCCCGGGATTAGGAAACCACAGAGGTGGTTTAAAGACATGACTGACACCCCCCGTCCCTCCCCAGTCTGTGCACTCCCTAGTCACAGCCCAGGAGCTGGGCCCAGGTGTTTGCATCTGGGGTGTTGGTTCAGGTCTCGTTTCCATACGCACCCAATGGAGAGCCCCTCATGCAGGGGCGGCTCTATGTTTTTTGCCGCCCCAAGCATGGCAGTCAGGCGGTTTTCGGCAGCGCGCCTGTGGGCAGTCCACTGGTCACGCCGATTTGGCGGCATGCCTGCAGGAGGTCAGCCGGTGCCGCGCCTTCGGCGTCCCCGCCGCTGAATTGCCGCCAAAGCCGCGGGACCGGCGGACCTCCCGCAGGCATGCCGCTGAAGGCTCCCTGACTGCCGCCCTCACAGCGACCGGCAGGGCACCCCCCACGGCTTGCCGCCCCAGGCACACGCTTGCTGTGCTGGTGCCTGGAGCCGCCCCTGTCCTCACGTTACCCAACAGAAACAGCACGACCGGCTTTTGCTGCCAACGGCCCGTGTTCCTAGCTCCGTGCGATCTGGAACGCAGCCCTGCCGGGCAGGTGAAGATTGGCCCCATGGACTCACCTTGAAATAGGAAAAAGCCAGATGGTCCAGCGCGTCCTCTAGGCTGCCCTCGTCCTCCGTGTTCCACTCCCCGTAGGAGACGCGGAAGAGGCTGACGGCTTCCTCCAGCCAGGCAATGGAGTGGTAGTAATCCGCCATGTCGTACGCCACCTGCAGGATATCAGACGAGATGCCACATCCACCCGGAGGGCTGGAGCGGGGCATGGAGGGTGGGGCGGGGAGGAGGGGAAGGAAACGCGTCCATGGGCCGTATTATAACACAGCTTGGCCTCAGTGCTGCAGCTCAGCAAAGCTCAAACAGAAATCAGTGGGCCAAATGCGTCCCTGGTCTGACTCCCTGCTAGCTATCTTATTGTTATTTGTTCTCCCTTTGCGATCTGGGCCCCATTGTGCAAGGTGCTGTACAGACCCAGAGTAAGAGGCAGCCTGTGCCCTGTAGAGTTTGCAATCGACATAGACAAGACAGACAAAGGACGTATTGTTACTTCCTGAGGGGCAGCGTGGCCTAGTGAATAGACCACTGGGCTGGGACTCAGGAGAGCTGACTTTTCTTTGGTGCTCTGCCACTGGCCTGTTGTGCAAGTCACTTCACTGCTCTGTGCCTCAGTTTCTCCAGGTATAAAATGGGGTTGATGCTGCTGCTCTCCTTTGCAAAGCACTTTGAGATCTACTGAGGAAGAGTGCTGGATAAGAATTAGGATTTTTCCATAATTTTACATTTCTTTTATACATAGGGGAACCGGGAGGTTAAGTGACTTGTTCAGTATCACACAGGAAACCTGTAGCCCAGGTGAGACCTGAACCCACATATCCTGAGTACCTGTTTAGTGCCTTAGCCACATGACCAGCCTTCTCTCCCTGGTGATGGTTTTGCCTGTCCCTAAGTATCTTAGCACCACTGCTTGCAAGCGGGCTAGTGGCTGAGTCAGACATGCTGGGTGGGACCCCAAGTAATGTCCTTGCCTGTGAGTGTGGGCGCCCCTTTCCCATTAGGGCATAGCTCATGTTCCATTGCTGCTGCGGCTAATCCAGTCAGCGATAATTGCATGAAGTGACCTTTCCATCCAGGTTAAGGACTAGCAGAGGCTAAGCATGGATTGCTGCAAATTCAGCTACTTAAAACGCTACAGTGGAACAGCTGTAGTGCTTCAGAGTAGACACTACCTATGCCAACAGGAGGGGTTCTCTGGCTGGCGTAGGTAATCCACCTCCCTGGGAGGCAGAAGCTGGGCTGACGGAAGAATGTCTGTCTACACTGGGGGTTAGGTGGCATTGCTTCATCTCCCGGGGTGTGGATTTTTCACACCCCTGAGGGGAGGTAGCTATGCCGACGTAAGTTACCAGTGTAGACCAGCCCTTAGTCTTCCTCCTGTTATTTCCCCCCTGCTCCTTTGCTGTCTCACTGACTGCATTTTTAAAAGTATTTGGGGGGGCAGGAGTTGAGATTTGAACTATTTGCCGTGTTCAAAACAACACGGAACATTTTAAAAAGTGGCGGTCGGGGGATTTACACAGTATCTGGTCTGGCCAGCCTCCCCCCACCCCCCCCAGAATCATGAGTCTGGCTGCAAAAAATCATGAGATAATCTTCAAAGTAATGAGATTTGAACCGTAATACACTTGGGATCCTTTTTTATGGGCCTTCTGAGTTTTGACCTATTAGGGGGTCACGTTTCCAACCTCTCCTTGGCAAACATGAGGGCTAGAAACTTGCTTTGTTAAATGAAAGCTGAGATTTTTCACTTGACACGACACGACTGCTGGAGCCGGGGCTGATAAATATGCAAGAATTGGCAACAGGGTTTGAGGTTTATTATCCAAACAAGTGACGGTTTTGCAGTGACATTCCAATGATTGTTATTCACCAGCGTAAATGTATTGGTCCAGTACTTTATTTGTGTTTTCTATGCTGATAGTTCAGGTCTAGTCTAGTGGTTAGAGCAGGGGACTGGGCTCAGGTCCTCAAGGGTCTATTAGCTCTGCCAATGACTTGCTGTGTGTCCTTGGGCTGGTCACTTAATTTCTCTATGATTCAGTTGCATCCTTTGTAAATGGGGACCAGTGATACTTAACCTAATTCCCAAGGGTGTTATTATTATTTTGTATTTTCATAGCGTGTAGGAGCCCCAGTCATGGCCCAAGACCCCATTGTTCCAGATACTGTACAAACAGAGGCCAAAAAGTTAATCACTGCTCCAAAGAGCTCACAACCTAAGTATAAGTCAAGAAGAGACAACAGGTAAATACAGACAGCCTGGGGAATACACAGAAACAATGAGACAGTATAGGCCAGCATGACAGGCAGTGGTCTCAGCACATCCACAGTCTATCTGTTTTCAGGTTGTGGGGCTTAATTAATTGATCATAAAGCACTTTGTAATAGCTGAACGATCGCCTGTGTGCCCTAGATCTACTGAAGGGAATGTGGAGTTCTCCTAAATGATGAGGGAAAAAGAAATCAGGAAATCTGAGTTGTGTCTCTGCTGCCCCAGCCCTTCCCTTCCTATAGCCACAGGCAGTGAGAAAATCTGTTCTCCGGGCTATAACTGAACTCCCAGACTGTTGTAATTAATCACAGTCAGAGATTGGGACCAGACGTCTCCTTGCCTGGTGTGACTGCATGAAACAGGATTGCAGCGCTTGCTGTCACTGTCTGCCAGGAATGTCTAAGAGATGAGTCAGAAAGGGTCTCGCAATATTTGAGGAAAGAAATATCCAGTGTAATTTCTTATCACTGTAACTTCATAATTTCCCCCAAATGATCAAGGTCACGTGCATCTGAAGAAGTGGGGTTTTTTACCCATGAAAGCTTATGCCCAAATAAATCTGTTAGTCTTTAAGGTGCCACCGGACTCCTCGTTGTTTTTGTGGATACAGACTAACACGGCTACCCCTCTGATACTTGTGCACTTTACAACATCCAGGGACTGTCACCCTTGCAAGGCAAGTCTGATTGTCCCCATTTCACAGCTGGACAGACGGAGGCACAGTGGGGTGAAGTGCCTCACCCAAGTTCACATGGCAGGGCTGGGAATAGAACCCAGATCTCCTGATGCTGTGGCTGGTGCTTCCTCAGGGTAAAGAAATTCTGGGCTAGAATGGAGAGAGTCCCAGCTGTTTCTGTCAGAGGCATTCAGAACTCGCTTCCCGCTTGTGCGCCTGAGTTCAGGGCCCCCAGCGCCATCTGGGGGAGCTCAGATGGGAACCTAGCTTCGCCATCACAGCTGGGACTGGGGCTCCCTGGGACGCCTATGCTGCTCTATTTGGTTCAAAGGGTGATACTTGCTCCGGGTGAACGGGCCCCATGAAGGTGGCGTGTGCTGGGTACGGCAGGCCCTTTATTTAAATCGCATGTGGAGCCTTTCGTAGCAAAGTGAGCTTTGAATTTGTGACAGCGTGACATGAACACGGCGATGGCAGAGCATCGTATCCGGCCTGGCACACTGACGAGGGACGTAGCCCCCTTATATTAGGCTGGCTTCTGCTAATGCTGCATCTCCTGGTACCAGCCCCTGCTCCTCGGTGGGGTGTGCTCCAGGGGGACTTCCGCCATTTGTCCTGGATTCCCGACAGTGCTGCTGTGTGCCTGCCGGAGGCTCAGGGGTGGCGTCAGGCTTTTCCCAGTGTGTGTGTGTGTGGGGGGGGGGGGGGCTGAGGTGGGCCTTAGGCCCCCTCACCACGAGGCCCCATCCCCTGCTGCTCCTCTTCCCCCTGAGGTCCCTCCCCTGGCCAGGCCAAAAGCCAGAGCCAGGCAGTAGCAAGAACCACCCAGGGAGCCTGGGCTCCTATGGGGAGCCCCGGACTCTCCACCTGCTCTGGGTGACTTGTCCCAGAGGGTGGGGACATGGGCCAGGGGCTGCTCTTGGGCACCCCAGCTCCCAGCCCAGGGCAGGTGGAGGGTCTGGGGCTCCCCACAACGGCCCAGGCTCCCTGGGCAGCTCTTACCAGTGCCCGGCTCCAGCTTCCGGCCTAGCCAAGGGCCGGAGCCCCTGCATGTGACCCATTTTCGCACACTGACTGCCCACCATGCAGTCCAGTCCCTGCGGAGTGAGCTGGGAAGACAATTGTGCAGGGAGACGGGTTTAGCACAGACTGGATTAGAACTAGTCGATCAAGGGGCACTGAGTGGATGCTGTGGACTTGCTACCAGGCATTTCACTGGTGTCTTCTGTGCCTGAAAAGACTAGGGGCCTACACATAACACGTACTCATGGTATCCTAGGCTGGCTTCGTGCATGTGACCATGTCTCCCCCTAGTGGCTGGCCCCAGTGGTGACAAACCCTGCTACTTACAGTGGAAGGGAGCTCTTTAGGGCTTGTGCTGAGGGTCCTGAGTTCAATCCCCGCAGTTGCCAGCAGAGCTAATGTTCCAGTTTCTTACACACACAATTAAACTGACCACTGAATTTGTGGCCAGGAAGCAAATTTCCTCCAGGGCCTATTGACAATGAGCCTGATGGGAGGGAATTTCATCCTACATTGGCCGCCCTGAGTAGAGATCAGGTGGGCAGATCCTGTCCCATCAGCTAAGGAGGGGCAGGGCATTGATGGACCTGGGTGCTCTTACTAACCCACAGGGACTTGAAGCCACTGCAGTCAGCAGCCTTCATGAGATACGTGCAACCCACGTTAACGCAGCCTGGCTCTTTGTCCCCCTCTAGTGGCTGGAGTTCGTCCCCGCAGACGGCTCCATAGGAGATGCTTTTACGTACAGGTCAAGGGACAGCCTGGTAACCCCCTTGCCCGTGCCCCTGCAGTGCTGACCCTATGGCTCCCCCTCACCTTGCCGACGAGGAAGCAGTCATCAGCGGAGAGTGGGAAGAGCTGCCCGGGGCTGTAGAGGTCGGGGAGGTGGGTGCCGCTGGCTCTCTGGAACACGCCTTTCGCCAGCCCCTTCACGCTCAGAGCGTAGACGTCCTGCAGCCTCATCAGCGCCCGTGCTGCTCCCTCCAAGTCCTCGAAGTCAGGCAGGTCCTTCTCCACCTGCGTGTAGCCGTACTTGAGCGCTGTAATGTCAGTGATTGGGGAGAGAGGGGGGGTATCAGCTGGGCTGCGGAGAATGGAATGCCAGTGCCCAGCTAAGCACTTACATGGGCTGGAGCTAAGGAGGGATTCATGAAGAAGGGGCTTCCCCTGAAAAGCCGTCCGAAAGCCTTTCAGTGCCGAACAAATGGGACCTTCCCCTTGTTTGCCCATCCATGGGTACCCAGCGTGCCTGGACTTGTGCCCCTTGCTCTCACTCCTCTCCGTCCCCCATACCTGACTCTCCCCTATTGTCTCCTGTTATTCCCTTCCCATTTCCTCTCCTCACCTTCCTGGCCATCACCTTCCTCCCCCTCCCCCTTCATTCTCCACCACCCCCTCTTCTACTTCCTTCCCCTCCCACTTTCAATCCCTCCCTTGAGCATCCCCCTCATTATCTCTACATGGAGGTGATGGATCCAGGCCAGGTGACACCAGCTGAGCCTCTAGCCCCAACCCCAACCCCCAGCTCCTCTAGACACACGGTGGGAGATTCACAAAGGCATGGAGGTGCCTAACTCCCATGGGGATCAATGGGAATTAGGTGCTTGAATACCTCTGTGAATCCCACCCACTGCGCTCATCTGCTGACTCAAAACAGGTCAAGCGCTGTGGGTACGCGGCAGCTGTGGGTTCGGGACTGCCCCCTCTCCGGTACCTTGAGTGTTCTCACTGGCCTCCAGGCTGTGCACCACATTCAGCCAATCGGACTGCAGCCTCTTGATCAGCGAGTAGGCGAGTAACGGGTTCGCCGCAGAGCCCCCGGTTCCTTGGTGCAAATCCTGCACCTTGTTGTAAAACCTGGAAGGCACAAGCAGGGCAATCCCTCCCAGACACTGGAACCAGCCAGCGCAGCCCATTGCAGCAGGTTGGGCGGCGGGCGGGGGAGCACGGAGCTGGGGAAACTCCTCGGCAGTGAGAGCTGGAAAGACTGGGGGATGGTGGCTCGGGGGAAGCGCCATCAGTTGAAACTGGACAGGACAAAGCAGGGGTCAGGTGAGCAGCTCCTGCCCCCTCAGCTGCAGGAAGGGCGGGGCTCTGATGGATCTGGGTATCTCTCCTATGCTAACAAGACCAGAGCTGGCTCTTACTAAGCCCTGTGGCGGGAATGAGCAGGATGGGGCTAAGCTAACATCTCTAACGACTTTCATTCCCCCGGGTCCCCTCCGCTTGAGCTCAGATCAAACCCACTCAGAAATGCAAGGGGAAGAAGGGGTCACTTTCTGTTGCTCACGTAAGCTTGTGGTGCCTGGTACTTTCTCTTTTCCATGGGCAGATCAGCAGTTGCAATGGCCGGCTCCATTGTCTGGCTCAGAGATGCCCAAGCCCCAGATCCCTGCTTTGACTTCAGCTTGGATCTAACTTTAGATTTTCTGTTGTGCTCAGCTGAGCAGGGGGGAAAGCCATAACATGGTGCCTAGAGCTTGACTCATTCCAGATGTTAGTCATGTGACCAGTCCTCATAAAAAGGTATTTTCCACTGACCTCATTATTAGACTCCTGAGCTCAAATCCAGACCCTGAGATTGTCTCCCTGCAGTAAATCCCTCTGTGTCAGGAGTCACATGTTGAACCTGCAGCCTGACTGCTCCATAAACAATGATGACTGGAGAGTGTCACCTCGCTAGTCAGAGGGGCCAGAAGGAACCCCCCAGGTCTGCACACCATTCAGCATTGGGCTGGTACAAAATCTAAACCTGGAACTAGGTATATTACAAATGCCCCCTGTCATTATAATGGGATGAACCAAATCCCCAGAGCCAAACTCCCTTTGTGGTTGAAATTTAGATCCATAGCTTGCACCCATCTCCAGTCAAATGCAAAGGATACTCCTGAGGGAATTCTGCACCAAAAAATTAAAAATCCTGTGCACAATATTTTAAAATTCTGCAAAGTTCTGCAAATTGTATTTGTCAGATAAATGTGGAGGCTCCAGCATGGCATTGGGTAGCACAGGCCACTGGCTGCACAGAGGTGTGGGACATCACTGTGCAGCTCCCCACCCCGGAACACGGACTCAGCAGTGAGGCTGCACCCAACTCTGACACAGCACAAGGACCAGGTGCACCAGGTGTGGGCAGGCAGGCTCAGCAAGGCAGGATCCAGGTGTGGAGGGGCTTAGTGTGGGGGGATCCAGGTGTGAGTTGAGAGGGTTCTGTGTGGGTCAATCTGGGATCTGGGTGTGGGGGGAATCTGGATGCACAGCGGCTTGTTGGAGGGTTCTGGTGCAATGGTAGGGGAGGTCCAGGTGAAGGTGGTTGGCGCTCAGCGGGGGGAGTCTGGGAATGGGGGGGATAGAGCTCAGAAGGGGAGTCTGGGTGTGGGGGGCTCAGTGGGGGAGTCCAGATGCTGGGGGAGTGGGGCTCAGTGGGGTGGGGATCCAGGTTCAGCTGGTTGGGGCTCGGTAGGGTGGGGATCCGGGTGCAGGTGGCTCATTGGAGTGGTCCAGGTGCAGGAGGAGTGCGGCTCATCAGATTCATAGATTCTAGGACTGGAAGGGACCTCGAGAGGTCATCACGTCCAGTCCCCTGCCCTCATGGCAGGACCAAATACTGTCTAGACCATCCCTGACAGACATTTATCTAACCTACTCTTAAATATCTCCAGATAGGGGGAGTTCTGGGTGTGGGGGCAGTGAGGCTTGGTGGGAGGGTCTGGGTATGAGGGCGTCTGGATGCACGGGGGTTGGGCAGATGGGGGAGCAGCTCCCTGTACAGTGATCCCTCCCCCTGCAGCTGAGGAGCGATGGGTGCAGGAAGCACGGGTGGGGGAGGGGAAGTTTGCAGAGCTTCCTACAGATGGGGGAGAAATCTGAGGGTGGTCTGGCATGGCCCCAGATGCCGTGCAGGGGAAGAGGAAGTCCCGTCCTCCCCAACCCAGCTGGTACTAGCAGCTGAGCCTGGCACAGGGAGGAGCCACGAGCCAGGTCTTCCCCAGTCCCGCCCCCTGCCCCACAGTGATTTACCTCTCTGCTGGCTGATCTGGGCACCCAAAACATACTGCTGGGGAGGGTGGCATAACCGCTCTTGTGACTTCCCTTTGCTTCCCCATCAGAAAGTCATTTTTCTGCGGGGAAGCAAAGAAATCTGCAGGGGACATACATTCTGCATGTGCGCAGTGGCGTAGAATTCACCCAGGAGTAAAATGAGCAACACATATTTCACCTACCCAGATCTCTCTCTTATTATTTTTATTGCAGTAGTTCCTTGCAGCCCCAGTGAAGATCAGCACTTCATTAGCTTGGCCAGTGGTTCCCAAACTTTTCACATTGCGCCCTCTTACCTCTGTCCATGCCCTGCCCCCATGAGTCGCCGTCAGGAGCCAAGGCTGGGAGTGGACCCATGGCCAGAGGCCAAAGCTGGGGGCAGGACTGGGGCTGAGGCCGGAGTGCTGGGCCACAGTCAGGGCTGGCAGCTGGAGCTGGGGCCGGGAGTGGAGCCTCAGCTGGGCTGTGGTTGTGGCCGGCAGCTGGGGCCGCAGCTGGGAATCAGGGGCCGAGACTGGGGCTGCAGATGGGGACAAGGCCAAGGCTGGGAGCAGAGCCACGGCTGGGAGCCGGGGTCGTGGTGGAGCAGAGCTGGGGGCAGAGCGGGGCTGGATGGCGCTTCCTCCCTACCCTCTTTGGGGGCTGGCCCATGCCCCACCGTGCCCCACACTTTGGGGACCACTGAGCTATACATTATACATACACAAAGTAAGACAGTCCACAGAAAGAGCCGGGTTTTTGTGACCGAAGAATAAATGGGAGACTTTCAAGATCTATTCATGGACAATTTACAATGAGAAGAAAAACTTGTAGAAACATATTCATTGTGAGTGAACAGCTGATCTAATCGCTACACTACACTGCTTACACACTGCAGTGGTAGGTGCTTTAGAAGTCAGACAGGGAAGATCCATGAAAGACCTGGGTTCTAAAGACAACAGGAATGTATTTAAAATGACGCAAGCACGTGGCTGATCAAACACTTCCTAGGCAGATACCTCTGGCAATGTCTACAAGACTCATCTTGTATGGAAGCCAACTGGTTAGAGTATCTTTTATTGCATCTATGTTTTCCCTGTGTGGAAGGTAGCCACAGATGTAACACAAGGAAGCAACAGTCCAAAGAAATAACAGAGGAAGGGCATATTCCCTGGTCCTTCATTGAGCAAACCTAACAGTGACGTCCATGTAAGTTTAGCCCCAATAAGGACTGTGTTGAAATTAAGTACAGAACGCAAGATCTGGCCCATATTCCTAACTTATGTTCCAGAGCCTGGCTCTCCTCTCACACTAATTCGGTGCAACTCCACTGATGTCCATGGAGTCACTCCTGATTTCGGCCAATGCAATTCAGCAAGGTACCTACACACACGCCCAACTTAAGCCAGTGAGTAGTTAGTGCCCTTGGAGTCGGTGGGAATGTTCTTGTGGTTAAAGGTACCTTGCTGAATCAGGCTCTTAGGGCTTGTCTACACGGAACAGCAATGCGGACTGTGGGGGTCTGAGTTCTAAAGTGCATTCACACCCCTGTAGCTCACACTGCTGCTAGGTGTACACTGGCCTTAGTGTTTTTTAATCCGATGAGAATTATAACCCATCAGACTGTAATAATTACCCTGGAATCAGTTCTCTGTCTGGAGATGAACCAGTTCTGCTCTGTCCCCGGGGCTCTGAGCTGCCTATTTACAGCTGCTTGCAATCCTGAGGCCAAGCCTCTGTCGGCCTCCCAGTGAAGCATCACAATCCGCCCGTCATTATTCATTTGTATTTAAGGCAGGGGTTTTCCCAAGAGCATAGGTGTCCAACTCCCATTGAGTTCCAGTGGGACCGGCCACCTCCGCGCAGAGCCGCCAAGGTATTTTGGTGCCTAACTCTCCTAGCCTCCCTGGAGAATCCCAGCCTAAGTCCTTCCGTGGGCAAAACTCCCTTTGATACCAATGAGCCAGATTTTGACTCCCTAACTCCCGCTGGTGGGAAGTTACTCGGCTGAAGTCAATGGGCGTTTGTAGTCTCCACTCTGGTCCAATGAGAGTAGCGTCTAGGGCTGAGGCTCCCACCCTCACCCATGCCGAGAAGCACTGGCAGCTCCCAGGAGTAAGTGCTACTCAGTGTGAGCGAGTGCTGCAGGATCGGGCCCGGAGGACGGCCTGGGGACTCCCAGGAGTAAAGTGCTACTCAGTGTGAGCGAGTGCTGCAGGATCGGGCCCGGAGGATGGCCTGGGGGATGACCTCAGCCAGCAGCCCTTCAATGGCAGCTCCGCCCTAGGAAGGGCTGAGTTAAGACCTTGGGATTTGGCCCAATAGTTGGATCTAGTCTGCTTACGGGCGTACCTAGATCCGAGGTGGAAAGGACAGCCTGGGTCATCAGTTTCATCCCACTGGAGCAGAGGTGGGCAAAGTATGGCCCGCGGGCCACATCCGGCCCGCGGGACCATCCTGCCCAGCCCCCGAGCTCCTGGCCAGGGAGGTTCACCCCCGGCCCCTCCCCCGCCGTTCCCCCCCCCCCGCAGCCTCACCCCACGGTGCCCCTCAGCACCAGCGCACCCCCCGCGGGGGGGGGGGGCAGGGGAGAGCAGGGAGGGAGGCTCACCCGCAGCCTCAGGGGAGCAGGCGGGTGGTGCGGGTGGCGGGAGCGCGGGGAATGCAGGCGGAGGACTCAGGAGGACACCGGGTGGCCGCGCAGCCGGCTGGACAGAAGCGGCGCTTTGAAGGAGAAACCGCTTCTCTCCGGCTGCACGGCTGCCCCTGCTCCTCCTGAGTCCTGCGCCCATGTTCGCAGGGCAACATTCTGAAAGGGGCTGGGGGGGGGGTTGGATAGGGGTTGGGTTCCCAGGGGGCGGTTAGGGGCAGGGGGTCCTAGGAGGGGGCAGACAGGGGACAGGGAGGGGGGGTTGGATGGGGGGTGGGAGTCCCAGGGGACTTGTCAGGGGGCGGAGGTGTGGATAGGGGTTGGGGCAGTCAGGGAACTGGGAGCAGGGGTGGTTGGATAGGGGCTGGGGTCCCAGGGGGGCAGTTAGAGGCAGGGGGGTCCCTGGAGGGAGTGGTTAGGGGAGAAGGAGCGGGGGGTGTTGGATGGGTGGGGGAGTTCTGAGGGGGGCAGTCAGGGGGCGGGAAGTGGGAGGGGGCGGATGGGGGCGGGGGCCAGGCTGTTTGGGGTGGCACAGCCTTCCCTACCCGGCCCTCCATACCATTTCGTAACCCCGATGTGGCCCTCGGGCCAAAAAGTTTGCCCACCCCGGCACTGGAGCCAGGTGACAGATGCGAACTCCCATCGAAATACCTTTGAGGAACTGGCTCTCGGATACTGCCGTGATGAGCGCGTGACAAGAAGCTGCACAGACCTGAACAGAGCTTCATTTCGATCCGTTGCTTAGCGCAGTTTACTCCAGGTGGCCTTGAGGTTTAATTTGGTCCCAACAGTCCCCTTTCCCCCACCCCCACTAGCTCTAACAGCTGAGAACCAGCCCTTCCTGCCCTCCCATTTTTAACACCGGCCCTTCCCCGGGCACGTCACCCTGAGATTTCACAGACAAGCTGCAATTTCCCGAGCTTCAGGAAAAACCCCTGCCCTGACTCACAGTGGAGCAGGGCTCAGGGGTGACCGCCGTGACCTCCCCACAGCAGGAGCATGCTACTCACGTGGAAGCCGGTTTCACTCTGACATTGGCAAATGGCACTGATTTAAGCAGGGCCCTACCAAATTCATGGTCCATTTTGGTCAATTTCACGGCCACAGGATTTTAAAAATTGTAAATTTTGTGATTTCAGCTATTTAAATCTAAAATGTCATGGTGTTGTAATTGTAGGGGTCTTGACCCAAAAAGGAGTTGTGTGTGTGCGGGGGTGTTGCAAGGTTATTGTGTGTGTGTGTGTGGGGG